CCCCAGCCGCAGCACCTTGTGTTCCGCACCAGCCCACCTCCCTTCCGTCCCTAACAGAAGGAGAATCTGCCATTCTATTTATTTTTTTTTTAATTACTGTTATCAATGTTATTTTTCATCTTCCCTGTCCCCCTGAAGCAGCAGCAGATGGGGACACACAAATCCCAGGCTGCCGAAAGCCGGCACCGCTGCACCCACACTGCTCAGGAAGCCTGAGCCACAGGCATCCCCGGCAACTTCAGCACAGCACCAGCGAGTCCAGAGGCAGCCACACTCCGCTTCCACGGCCCCCAGTCTTCAGCCTCAGGGGCTCAAAGTCCCCAGCAGTTGACCTCAGGGACGCCGTGGGAAGGACACCAGAGGGCCACCCGCAGTAGGGCTTCCTCCAGCTCTGCCCCAGACCTCCCCATCACCTCTCGCAGTCCTGCTCCCTCAGCCGGTCCCCAGATCCTCAGCTCCTTCGCCCCACACATCCTCTTCAGTCCACTTCTCCTCCCATTCCCCTCCCCTCTTTTTCAGCATCTCCAAAGCTTTCTCCATCCTCACTCCCCACCTTCCACCCCTCTTCCTGTCTCCTCCACTTCCCTCTCCATCCCCTACTCTCCAACACCTCCTTCCTATGACTAGGCAGCCATGCCATCATCTCTCTACTTCAGCTAATTCCCTCTCTCTATGGGAGCTGGTGTTTTATCTCTGCCTCTGAGCCCCCCTTTCATGACTCGTGGCTTTTGCCATCCCACCCCCTTCCTCCCCGCTGCCGCCGGGATGGGAGGGCAGCAGGGGGTCCCTGCACGCTCGGCAGGCCTGACCCCGGCCCTCATTAACAGCGCCCTTCTCAAAGCAGGCGCAGCGTGAAATAAATAAATAAAGCAAATCTCTGTCTCGCTGCTGTCTCGGGTTGCTTAAGGGAGCCGGGCGCCGGGGGTGGGATGAAGGATGCTATTTGGAGAAGCTGTCTCCATGGCAACCCCCATTCCCACCACTGAGCGGGCACAGGTCACCCGTTTCCATGAAAGTTTCCCCACTCCCTCCCCATCCCTCTGCCCCGGGAAGTGCCAGCACAGCCCCAGAGGCGCAGGTGGCCTAGGACGCAGCAGAAGCAGGGACAAGAAGCAGCTGCCAGCAGCCTCCAAAGTCCCCCACGCCACGCTGGAGGCAGCCAGGGCATCCCCACAGCACAGTGACCCCATCGTCTCCAGGCCTGTGTCCCCACGGTCAGTCCGATGCACGCAGGGTGGCCATGCTCTGCTGCAGGACTTGGGGACAGATGCAGGCGCGTACCCTAACACACGTGCTGTTGGGACTGGTGCAGAGATCAAAAAGCGTCCCCTCCCACCACACACAGCGCTGGGTGCTGCATCAGTTATCCATTTTAATTTGAAATCGGCTGCTCCCATTAAACGCTGCCAGGTGCTCCCAGAACAACCCGTGGTTCCCTTTTTAGCTCCCCTCCCTGCACGCCCACGCGTCCGCCGCAGGGCTGGCAGCACTGCCCCATACCCCCCGCACCGAAACAGCCGGCAGAGCTCCAGCAAGAGACGGAGAGAGGATCGAGCGAGACAAGGAGAACGGGGAACTGTTTCTGCTCTCCCTCAGCTCTCCAGCATGAGGACGGGGCACAAGCAGCAGCAGTCTCACACACTGCTGGCGTTAATGCATCCTCTGCCGGTACCAGCAGGCAGCTGCCTACAGCCAGGGCAGGCAAGAGGGTCAGCAAAGAGCCCCCAGCTGACGTTCCGGGGCTGACACCCAGGCAGCCATCCTGCGGCACAGCGCAGGCTGGAGGGATTCACACGGTTCCCCCACAGGGCTGGGAGTTTCGCCAGGAAAAGCAAGTTTATAAATAGTGCGTTTCAACACGAACAAAACGAAAGCAGCAGAACTCAACAGTCAGTTAGATCTGGGGCTGAGTGCTGGGCCCTCCCCAGCATCCTCCCCTCCAGGAAGGGCGATCCCTTCCCTCCATCGCCCAGCTGGCCAGGACCATCCTCACTCTCTAGGAAGCCTGGATCTGGTGTCTGTGTCAGATGTGCTGCTTGGGAACACCCCTGCCTTGCCTGGCAAGGCAGCAGAGCTGGCTTCAAAAAGACCAGAAGCAGGTGGAATGGCCAGCTGCTCCGTGCAGGGGCAAGGGCAAACACAGCCCACAGCAGCTGGCTGCCCAGCCAGGCCCAAGGGCCACAAATTTCAATATATTCCTTGAAACCAAGTTTTCATAAGCACATGGGTCAGAAAGTTTCTAGCTTCTCTTCCCACCCCTGCAGAAGACAGTTGCCCCATGGGTGAGGCTGGCACTTAAAACAGAAGTTTCATGGCACGATGTGTGACACCGAAGGGGCACATACCTGCCAGATCCTAACAACAAGCAAGATACTCAAGGGGAAAACCAGCTTTTATCTCTGCCTTAAGGAGGAGAGCAGCAAGTCATCAGATCAGAACTTGCTTCTCATAAACACAAAACAGCAGAAAAGACACTCCTGCGCCTACGGAGCGAATGGGAAGACATCCCTGCTGGGGAACTACCTGCCAGACTGCAAAAAGAGGAGATCTTGATGGTTGTGCCCAAGGGAAGACATCAAGAGATGACATGTCAGAGCAGCCCCATCAGCTGTCAGGAAGAAAAGCCTCTGATCGTCCACTGAACGCATGCAATGCTCTTCACGCCATGCTTGCTTACCTTGATGTAGGTGTCCAGGGCTGGGTGGACACGGTTGACTGCTAGATGGATGGACAGTGGCGTGGTGAACGGGAAGGTCGCCATGACCACGTGGCTGGGAGCAGGGAAGGAGAAGATCTTGAAGCCATACTTCTGGAACCGCTTGATCTGCTCTTCAGATGGCTTTGCATCTCCTTCGCTCAGGATTCGGCCTATGGCGAAGCGGCACTTCTCCGGAGACACCTGGTTGGGGTGGACAGACAGACGGCATCAGAACAAGAGAGAGGCTGAAGACTGGCCCAAACCTCAACCTGCTGAGCGCGGAGCCAGGATACCAACAAGAAACAGGGTAAATGCAATGGCCCAGCATGATCAGGCACACCAAACCAGGTGCCCACTCCTAACCAAGACTGATCCATACCAAAACTGTCCACACTTCTCCCAGTCTAAGCTCACAGCCCAGTGGGGAGGGCACTGCTCCGCTCCCTGGAGGGAAGAGGGACTTGCAGCAAAGAAGAACTAAACCCCACCGGGCTGCTCACCCAAACCCACCTCAGGTGACAGCCATTGCAGAAAGTGTCTCTCCTGACCCCCCCCATCAGCGACCCAGCTGCTGAGACATGCTCACCACCATCCTCATCTGCACAACACCCCTGTCACTCCGGGAAGGCTAAAAGAGACGCAACCGCAACCTGGCCAGCTCACCTCCGTCCCACCCCAAGGGTGGGACCTGCCACCAGCAGCCACCCAGACACCCATCCCACCAGCACAAGCCACCAGCGCTAAGCCAGAGGGAAATCCAGAGGCTGCTGGGTCACTCCTAAGTGGGCACACTCAGTTGGACGCAGTTTCAGGCATGGGTAAACTGAGGCACATAAGACTTGCAAGCAGCCACCGTGCTGTATGTAGCGACGCAAAGAGAAACACATGCCCTTCCACCCTGGATCCCAACAACATGCAGAACATAAAACAGGCTCTCTATCCAGATTTGGGGATGCTTCCCATTAAGACATGAGGCTGCAGGGCTCCCAGCCCAGCAAGGGGGCTGGCTCAAGGCTCTGCTCTCAGCACAGTGACAGCCCACAGGACTCTGGCCATCTCCACGCCAAGGCTGGCCCAGGCCACAACTTTCCTTCCTGGTTTTTAACAAAATCCCACCACTCGAGTTCATGTTTACCCATGGCATTAGGCAGCAACATGGCAGAGGGCAGCAGAGCCCAGCAACTCCCCCTCCAAGAAACTACTGAAGGACTAGATGTGCCTTCCTACAGCTTAGGTCGGAGCCCAGCTCCCTCCAGCTCCAGCCTTCGTCCCTAGCAGAGCTGCAGTCCTTTCCACCCTCAGAGATGCTCAAAGAAGCCGCCAAGCAGGCAGAGACAAGGCTCCTTCTGCCTGGGCACACTGACCTATAAAAGGAGCCCAAGAAGAACAGGGGGTGCAGGGGGCACCAAGGAAGGGGGCACCATCTGAGTGTTCATGCTTCCCTGCCACCTGCTCGCAAGCCTGCTGGATAACGAGACGATGTGGCAGCCAGCAACCAGGAGCAGCAAATGCACGAGCCTTGCCACCTTCTGCCAACCATCCCTCTTCTGGTGAGGGCTGGAGAACCAAAGTCTCCAAATTCCCGCCACACAAGGCAGCAGAACTCACCAGGACCTGCTAGGATGAACGGCCGACAGCGGCAGCAAGACAGGCAGACGCCCTGCAGGCACTGGCATCACAAAACCCTCACCAGGATGATGGGAGACAGAGAGAGGGTGCAGACAAGGCCAGCGTGTTACCACTTGCCCCCTTCCCACCCCCACGTGCCCCCCAAGGGGATCTCTGCCCTGTGCTCCCCAATCTCATCCCCAACTTTGCCTGTGCTAAAGCTCAACATCTCCTGCAGCATAACAAGCCCCCGCCGCACTCCTTTCGCTCCCTTTCCTTTAAACATCCTTTCACGTTGCATGGCAGGACCATCCCGGGGGTGAAACACAAGCAGCTGTAAATAGGAAGGAAGAAAATACTGCCAGCAGCAGCAGCAGCAGCCATCAGGCTGGGGACTGGCGGGCTGACGGCTCGCTCTTGCCCTCCTGTGCTGCGAGAGGGAGCTGCAGATGGGGCTGCGCCCAGCGTTGCTGCTTTGGGGCAGGGAAAGAAAAGATCCACTCCAAGGAGAGCAAGGGGCAGCAGTAAAAGGCATCCACGGAGAAAGGCCCAGATGAAGCAAGGAGATAAGGGAAATCTAGATAAAATACCTTTAAACATGCAATCTCCATTTATGTCCTGAGCAAAGCTGGTTAACCCCTGGCCCCAGAGCAACCAACAGCAGGACCCGAGCTGCAGCAGCAGGCAGCACCACTCGGGCCAGGCACGTTTGCTTCCTCCCTTCTTCTTTTAACTTTCTTTTTCAAAGCATACAGCCCTGCAGACGCTTTCTCAAGGGCAGCAGCAAGGCAGATTTGCCTCCTCCTCTGCCTGGCAAAGCCCATCTCAACGGAGGGAGGGAAATACTCTGGTTAAAACCAGCCTTTACCTACTAAATTTATCCTTTTGGGGTGGCCAGGTGCTGATCAAAGCCTCTGCTCCCTCAAGCACCCCGACAGAGTTCTAGAAACAGTTACTTAACCTGCTCATCTACAGCTTTACCTATGGGAGCAAAACCCATTCCTGTATTCAAAACGTGTTTTGGCCTCTTCCATCCAATGCTTGGGCACAAGCTGGTTGCTGAGCACGCAAACACGTGAACTGCGGGCAAAAGGCCCTAGCACGTGGCTACAGCTAAATGTGAGCACAAGCGCTTGGCTGGAGCTGAGCACAAACCCGTCTGCCACATCCAGTCCTTGCTGAGGAGCTATTTTTGTTCCTGCCAGAGGTGGGAGAATGAAGGAGAAGTCCTCTGGGCTGCTAAATATTAAACAAAACGGAAAAAGGAAAAAAAGTGCAAATTAATATTAATCTTGTCCATTAAAACACATAAAACATTGCTGGCAGGGATTCGGCAGCAGTCGGGGAGCGTCCTTGTGTGAACGCCGGAGAGCCAGGAGTCAGCGGGAAGCCCTGGGATGCCGGTGACGGTGCTGCCCTGAGGCCCGGCATGACCCCGAGGAAGCCCATGCGCTCCAGTCCACGGGGCTACCCCCGGCCCGCTCCTGGTCGAGAGCCGGCACATGGCCACTGCTTCCCAGCTCTGGCATCCCTAAGCTCTCTTCCTGCAAGAGCCTCCTCCGGCCACGAGTCCACCAGCACAGCAACCACACCAGCACCTGCCAGTCGTCGGCCCCTTCCTGCCGCAGTGGTGGGGCACCAAACCCTGCAGGAGCCGGAGGCAGAGAGCCGGGCTCCAGGGGGCTGTCTGGCCAGAGCCCACTGGCACTCAGCCAGGGACACCACAGGACACTGCGGGCAGCAAGCACGTGCTGCTCCCTGGTGACAAAAGGTCTATTTTTGGTGACAAGTCAACATCCATTGTGAGTGGCCAGCTCCAGGCGGACCAGCCTCTGCCAGAGGGTGCTGCACGGAGGTCAGGAGAGCACTGAGGAAGAGCAGGAGGCCACCTCTTCTGGGCAGCATCCTCCCAGGGCAAAGGCAGCCTGGAAGACCAATCCTGCCCTGCCGGACCTCCTGGAACGAGGAGCCAGCAGCACACACCATCTCCCACTCCCATGACACCATGGCTACAGCAGGTTCGAGCACATAGGGGCACCCCACGGGACACCAGAGTGCTCAGCACCTGAGCCAGCACACCAGGCACGGCCGTTGCAGCCCCTGGCCAAGCGACCCACCCAAAACTGGCCCCTTCCTTACCGGCCTGGAGGCAAGGCAGCCCTCTGGCCATTCTGCCCAAGGGCATCCTCACTCCCAGCACCCTGCCTGTCGGCGAGACGTGGATCTGTGTCGGAACCGGTTCAGCCTGGAGAAGGTCCCACCAGCATGTCTGATGGCATGCCCAGTGGTGTCAGGCATGAGGAGGCTGCTGCTGCCGCATGGAACCACAGGCACCACTGTGACGTACAGACCCCTAAGCAGGGATGGAAAAGCAGGTCTCCAGATCCAGTATCATGCTCCAGCCCAGACCAGGCACCAGCTGGACCAACAGGCAGAGGTCCCGGTGTGTCTTGACCACATCAGGTCAAGAGCTGCCTCCACAAGCTGAGCCCTGAATCCAGAGAAATCTCTCCTCGTCACTGACATCAAGACAGGCCCTCCTTGGCCACCAGATGCCATTCAGCCATGCTGGCAGAGAAGGTCTTCCCCTCCTGAGAGGCCCGGCTACAAAAGAAGAAACAGCTGGCTTCCAAAACCCTGCATGGCCACCAGAGACCAGAGACAAGTTCTGCAGCCCCACTGCCTGCTGCAGCCGCAGGGTGAGGGCAGAGATGCGACAGATGCAGGAAGAGGAGAAAAGAGTCAGGACCAGAAGGAGGAGGCAGCTTCACCCTTGCACGGACACCCAACTTTCCAGGGTCATGTAGGAGCCACTCCCTCCCAGCCTTGCCTGATGCTGCTGGGGAAAGCACTCTCCATGTCAGCCGTGCAAGAATCACCGCAAATGTCCGTACCAGCACCTGTGGGCCACAGCAATACAAGCTTCCACTAGCCCACGCTTCGGCAAACAGAGAGGCAAGGCACAGCGCCCAAGCAGGAGAGATCTGCAGGGCAGCCACAGGCACGTCCACACCACGTCCCCGGAGCAGGGCAGCACCAAGCACGGACGCTGAGCCCTTCCAACAGCATCAACTGCTCTGCTCCGTCCCCAGAGACGCTGGGGGAAGAACCAGCAGCACCAGGGTTCTCACCTCCAGAAGAGGACTTCGACACACAGACAAGGACACAGATTCGTGGCAGAGGAATTGGCCACTCTGACCACACAGGTGCTATCACGCCAGGCACTCCCCATGGCTTCCACCCCTCACCCGCTCCAAATAATAACACTGTTTGTGGACAAAAGAGTCCAAGCCCGTCCAGCTGAACCCTGCCTCTGCCTGGCTCATCCCGGGGTGAACGTCCTCCTGGCCACCCTCCTTCCCAGGCCAGGAAGAGGCACTGCAGTGTCTCTTCTCTGCCTCCCATGATCCAGAAGCAAAAACTGGAAGGTAAAGATAAGTCAGCTTGTCACAGGACACAAAGACAGGAGGCGGTTAAGCACACCAGGCTCCGCGGAGCACAGTCAGTTCAGTGTTTTCTCACCTCCGATATCTTCCTGCCACAGTGCGCCAAGGAGCCACCCAGCACTACATTTTCATGGACAAGCACCCTCTAAGCACGTCCAACCCCTAGCAGTGCTACCCTGCAATCAAACAGGGTGGGTACTACACAGCCCATGATGGTTCCTAAAGCAGGGCCGGTCCTCCCCAGAGCAGAAGCACTGGGCGAGAGCTATCAGCCCAAGCATTGTGCCCTGCGCCAGCCCCCAGCACACATGCCCAAGGACATGCACACGGCTGCTGGCCACCCTGCCGTCCCTCCCCCCCACAGCATTCCTCCACGGTCACACTAGCTACCGCAGAATTAATGGGGAGCCAGCTGTCTGCCACGGAAAAACACCCACACGCCATTATCTGGAGACCCCAGTGCCACTGAGCGCCAGCAGCCTGGCTCCTCACCCCCCAGCAAGTTCTGATGCACTTTGGTTTGCTCCTTGTCCTGGACCATACCCTCCAAAGTACTTAGCTCTGGCTGGCAGCCATCAGGCAGTGCTCTTTCTGCTCACCTCTCAGCCTGAAGAGCATCATGGAGTAACTGTTTCATCAGACAGGAGCCCTCAGCGTGCACCACCTGAGGTTTGAGTAAGAACTCTCAGGGGATGCAAGGACTACAGGGAAGCTCAGAAATAAATGCGAGCACTAGAAACGAGAGGAGTATGGATGAGTACACAGCAAGCTGAAGAGACCATCTGCTTCCAATCACAGAGCTGCAAGTCCAGAAGGAGCCTTGGCTGCACTTCCCGCAGCTGGGGGATCTGCCAAGGAATGCCTCACGTTGGGGCCATGGACATCGGCCTCTGCTCCATAACCAGATCCATTATCCTGCTGATAACTTG